TTTTCTTTTGTCTCAATTTTTACATGCACGAATTTTTATTTGTTCGAAATTCTTTAAGAAATCTTCATTTTTCCGAATGTTCGGACAATTTTGGGCAAATAAAAATTGGGACAAATGAAGATTCGGTGATATGGAAATGCTAATATTCGAAAGAGTTAAAATTCTTTAGAAAGAGTTACTAAATTAAAATTCGGTTAAATTAGAATTACTTCAAAAATTCGGTACCTAAAAATTCGTTTAAAAAATTATGGGATAATCATGCGCCCCACATATTTCATGAATCTATGACTTATTTGAAGAAGATATAAATCTAAAAAGCATATTAATGAATGAAATTGGTCCATTTGAATTAAAATTCTAATATATATGTTTGAAAGAGCAGAGTTTTTTTTTTTTTTTTTTTAAAGAGGACAAAGGTTGATAAGATCGAAATCATGGTACAAATCAGGTAGTATGTTTTTGCTTCCAAACAAAGAGGCCAGAATAGTTTGTACTGCTGCTGCGACAAAAATGTATGTTGGGGGGGAAAAAAAAGGTCTGCGTCTTTTGATGCAAAAAGGAGGGGGGGTGGGGGGTCCACGCACCAAAAGGGCGATGTCCTTGTCTTTTCCTGTCGTCATTCAATTGTGTATATAGTATAAATACAGGTATCCTCTAATTTTCTCTGCAAGACAGGAACTCACCGCCATATAACTCAACCGTTAAATCGACATGCCTACTGCGCGCGTGAGTTGCGCCAAAGAACATTGTCGTTCATTTGGATTCGTGTGCTTCATAGATCTCTATAGTGAAGAAAAATCTCAGTTGGAAATAGAATTCTCAGGATATCGAATGACAATTTATTTCGAATGACCCTTGTATCTGTATTGTGTATGGATGGTACACGAGGAAAAAGAGAAAGAGAGAGAGAAAAAGAAAAGATGCTATCAGCAACTAACAGCGGCCGATGCAATGAAAGATATCACCAGGTTTTAAATGTGTCGCATTCTTCTTTATCGATCTACTGGAATGATAATTTAGACAGAGTTGCAATTTGCTAGATGCGGATCATCTTCCTCCTCTTCTCCACCCACTTTTTCTTCTTTTATATACATTCTCTATTTCCCTGTATTACATTTCCTAAAATATCAGTTTCACCAAAAAAAAATCGTTTCTATAAATAAAATAAATTTTTCGAGCTTAGGAAAAATTAGTTTCCTTTCCTAAAATTAGTTATTTTCAAAATGGCAAAGGTATAATGATTAAAACAGATGTTTGAAAACAGTTGTCTAATTCATTCACAAGGGTTTTAAGGTCGGATCATCAACTTCCGACACAATTTCCTGAAATCGTAAAAAAATTTCTAAAAAGGAAAAAAAAAATATAATTAATGTAAACGTGATCAATATAATATTTAATGACTATACTTTACGGTGATTTTACTCACTAAAAATAGAATTTTTTTTTTCTTTTCAAATGGCGAGAGAAAGTCGCATTATAACAATGCACCTACATATAATATAGCATCTTGAAAAACGTTTTTAAGCGAAATGTAAAGAGGTAATATTTTACTGAGACTTGAAAGCTTCATAATTGGTAGTTTTAAAAATGGTGCCATATGTGTGGGACATCAGGAGTGTATATTGTAGAGAGGGCTTTATGTATACCTTTTTCTATATATATATATATATATATATATAAAGAAAGTGGGTGGGACAAGAAGAAGTCCTCTGTATGTGCAGCTCCTCGTCGTGAGGTCTCTAGAAAACGCTATCGGCAAATCAGCGTTCGTCTTAATTATCACCCTTCTTCAGTATATAATCCTCTACTCTATCCGCAAAAGAGAAAGAAGATATAGGTTCAGCGTCTTTCTTGTAATATATCACCGTATGACCGCATGATAGGGCGCGGCCCTCTCACCACATTTATACTGTACTGGAATTCGCAAAAAAAAAAGTCGCAGAACGTTGGTCCCGCGAGAGCAGCTCTTCTTCTAACCTCCCCTTGAGACAGTGTTTTTCGAGTATTATTATTTGCCAATATGGATCTCCAGTAACATTTTTGCGCTCGACAAAACAATCTTTATTTTAAACCTTTTCCATTATAATTAAGTAAAAAAAAAATTTCTTGAACCTCCAAAAGAACTGTTTTTTTCCCCCCAACATTTTGAATTATAATTTCCCAAGTTTTTAATATCCGGCAGGATGTATTAAATTATATATTTAATGGAACATAAGAAGTATTAATTGAATAATGAATTTTAGGAATGACATATATTAATAAATATAGTTGAATACATATAACTTCCGGGAAATTGGAAAGTGCATTATTAACCCAAAAAGGAATTAAAAGTTTATGTGAAAGAGAAAAGAGAGGTCAATGTGTCAAAAGCAGTAATATGTGCAATGTCAACGGAATCGTTTTCATCTGGAAAATTTTAAGCTCTTGCGCATCGTTTAAGCCGAAAATTAAATCAATGTATATGCGCGAATTTCAAGAAACGGAGAAATTAAATTCCGCTGACATATAGGAAAACAATTGATTAATAAAATGCAAGTAATTTCTATCCTTTTTTATTTTAAACAAATTTAATTTTTTATTTTTATAGAGACCGTTTTCACCGTGTGGATAAATTTAATCCTCCGAGAGGTTAAAGGCCAATAGATATATTCTGCCTTTGCGCAGAAGCTATACAACATTCTGCGCAGACTCAGAAAATATCTAATGCGTTTGCGCAGAAACCATACAAACATTCTGCGCAGACGCAAAGAAAATATCTACTGCCTTTAACCTCTCGGAGGATTAAATTTATCCACACGTTGAAAACGGCCTCTATAGAAACATTTCGAAAAATAAATTTTTTTTTCTTAGAGCATAAAATGTTGAAAGAAAAAGAATAAACAGGATTTTTTTTTTGTCTTAATGAGATTGCAAACTAAGGAATTTGCAAAAGTGACTGGCGAAGAAACCCAGTGAAGTATTGTAATAGTATGGTCGTCGCGCTGATCGGAAACGGTTAGCAACCGTACTTATGCCGATAGAAAAGCGATATGTCCGCGATTTAAATACATCGCCTCCCCAAGCTCGTCCATACAATCTACACTGTCTATCTATCGCAATCTTCTGCCGCGATTCTATCGATTCACCATTCAGTTTGCGGTTCTGAATTTCCCTTTTGAAACTTGCGCAAAGTCTTCTTCTTCTTTTTCTTCTTCTTTCCAAGAAATATTCTATATTGAAAAGGGGTTGGGAATATAATCTATAGAATTTTACTGTCAAAAGCGCATTAACGAAAATTCCCCTCCATCCAATCAACTTTTAAACTAAACTTTTCGTATATTATGAAATGATGATCAAAAAGTTTCATTTGCATTTTTTGATATCTCTTTTGTTCATAATAACTTTTATATTTAAAATCGAAAAAATTGGACACATTTTTAAAACATATATAGAAGATAAATGGAGAACAAAAATAAAGTAATTTTTACTATACTTAAAAAGTAAATTCTACAGAAAAAGAGTACAAAATGAGTGACGCTATTTTAATTTGGAACGTACGAGAAATATGCCACGTATGTTGAACTGCAATAAAAATAAATCTGTATTCCGGAATTTCTGGTAGTAAAGTAGTAATTGTTTTTATATCTGAAAAAAAATTGACAGTTGCGAAGAAGTTTTAGTTTTACTTTGTAAGTATAGTAAAAGTTACTTTATATTTTTTTCCATAGTATTCGGAATGTGTTAATATTATACTTAAATTTATGCAATATTTGATTTTATAATTATAACGTTCTGGGATGTAAAGTGATTATTATAATAAGTGATTATTATAATAAGCGAATATTATAATAGGTCTGGTGTATCTTGATGTAACCGATTCTCATTATATATATATATATATATATATATAGATTGTATCGGTACAATGAATTAATTTTTTGAAAAATTATATATATGAAAAGAAATACCAACAGAGTGTTATGGAATTATGAAAAGTTGTTAAGTGTCGGAAATTCCGTGATAAAGACTTTTTGTAGGAAGTTTGCCTAACTCATTTGAATTTAATAACAATGTCGCACATATATATATAGTCGAAACCACATAAACTCCATTCCCGCCCCCTCGCAATGTTTAAAATTGACAACATATACGATACATATATATATTTTAAAATACACACACACATTGTTAATGCGTTCTAATTTCTTGTTTGATTTTATCTTCACCGCAATTTTAATTTTTTTCTTTCATTCAAAAATCAACATTCATATTCTTTTTTTTTTTAAGTGGCTCGTTAAACTCGACAAGCTCCGAAGATTTTATAGTTATGAATAAAATTTCATTTATTGAGAAGATGTATTTAATAATTGTCCTATAAGGATGTTTGTTGAAGATACTTTTTAATCTTGTTTAAAAATAGTATTTTTTTTTTGTTCTTCATTATCTGGTTTGGAAAAAGTAATCAGCTTCGTTATTAAGTATTCCGATGATAATTACACAGAAAATTAAAATTAAAATAAGCTGCAACGCTTCTTATTTTAATCCAATTTTACTTATTTTAATCCAGTAACGCTTCTTATTTTAATCCAATTTTACTTATTTTAATCCATTTTGGTATTAAAATAAGCAAAATTGGATTAAAATAAGAATAGCGTTGCAGCTTATTTTAATGCCTTTTAATTTTCTGTGTAGTTGTAATTTGTGTTTTTACCTGTTTGCTGTGTATGAGTCATCTCAATTTCTTTATTTTAAAATTTTTGGTGTAATTTAAAAATGTTGAAATGGGATAGTATTATTAGTTTTATATATATACCTGCGCGTATCCCAACCCAATATGTTTACATTGAAGTACAAAGAGTAATTTAAGGCTAAAGTCATAACAATATCAATTTTGAAGATAATTAAATCAGTTGCAATTCGTATCTTGACCTGTTTAGAGGTGTGGTCAACGGGAGTGTAAACTATTAAATATATTTTTTCCATTTTTACCAAGTGTTAAAACAATTTTTTTTTTGTTTCAGGAGTGTTCGAAATCTTCAAAAATCGCGATCGCTTTTAGAAAACGTGTTTTGTTTCTTCGTATATAGTTAAATTTTTCTTTTATTTTAGTTTTTGTTTCGGGAGTGTTCGAAATTCTTAAAACCGCGATCGTTTAAATCATTAGGGAAAGTATTTAGTTTCTCAATTTTTAGTAACTTTAGCCAATTTTTTATTCCGGGAGTGTTCGAAATTCTTAAAACCGCGATCGCTTAAATTCATTAGGAAAAGTATTTAGTTTCTTAATTTTTAAATTTTTGCCATTTTAGCCAATTTTCTGTTCCGGGAGTGTTCGAAATTCTTAAAACCGCGATCGCTTAAATCATTAGGGAAAGTATTTAGTTTCTTAATTTTTAAATTTTTGCCATTTTATCCAATTTTTTGTTCCGGGAGTGTTTGAAAATTTTTAAAATCACGTGTGAGTGTTTCCAACAGATCTTCACATTCCAAATATACTGTGACACGATACATCAGTTGCGGGATAAGGTTAGTAGTTATTTTTTTGTTCTATTTAAAAAATTTTAAGCATTAATTTTTCTATTTTGCTCTAGTAATTTTTGACAAAACATTTGGTTGGTTTTTAAAAATTTTTTGTTGCCTCAACCAAAATTATATGTTCTTGTTTCTCACTGTAAAAGGAAGGATATTAATTTAATATCGACTTTAGGTACTAAATTATCATTTGATATTTTGATACCCAAAATCGGTATACTATAATTGTTAGTACTTTCTTTTTACTGTGCTTTGAAAAAAGAAATTTTGTTAACTCTCCATAATAATTTGAATCGGTTAATTAGATTTCTGAAAGGAATTTTGAGTATATATAAGAAAAATATTTCATGTTTATTTTTCTGTAAAAAGAACAATATACAAGGATCTTATCTTTCGGATCAGTATTAACTCGTCCAAGTATATATGAGAACGACCCTTATCATTGAGCCCATAAAACACCCTTTTTTTTCCCCCCCGTATAGTTCCTGTTGATAAATCCGGATAAGTCTCTGTCTCTCTCTCGCGATACGTATCTAAAATAAGAACGACCACATTGCATTCGCCGATAGAGCCACTAATTGCGAGAATTGTGCCGTAAAGTTAAGAACCTAGCTTCTCTGGCTCGTAAGAGAGGCTAGATTTTTGTCCTTTTGGCCTCGCACCACCCCTCTTGTCTCCCCTTTTTGCGTGGGACTACTTCTTCTACGATAGAAGTTGTCGTCCCCTCCCCCCACCCTTTTGTTCGACGCGCGGAAAGATAAATTCTCTTAATAAATGACTTTGGGATCTATAACGGCGCGGTAGCGCCTCGTTATCCAGAGCACCGTGTATACACAGCGTGTTTTGCAGCGTTTTCAGCACGGTTTGGTACCACGGGAGGCCGATAAATCTACGCTCAGGAGAAGAGTAGCGCATATATACACGAACGTATGGTCTAGACCGAACGCGAGCGAGAGAGATTGTCGTGATGTTGCGGTTCTTGGTTCCAAGTTTCTGCTCCTATATATATATATATAAGGTCCATATGACCGGTTTTAGTATTTGTGGAACACAAGTGCAATATTCCACACACAAACAAAACTCTCATGTCTCTTCCCCATGGCAAGATTGTGCGACCTGTCTGAGAATTTGTGTGTATGTGTATATATACCTTTATAATACACTGGGTGTCCCAGAGAGAGAGACTAGTCTTAACTTCTAAGACGACTTTTTCTATATACTCTCATCCATCAAGTGAAGAATGCAGCGTCCTTATATATTTTTCAATTTTGTCTTATGTGTGGAGAAAAAAAAAAAATTTGATAGCTAGTCTTTGTAATATTTGATGCATTTGCTTCCGTTTTTATATGTGCGGTCAGTATAACAGAATCAAATATTTATCTCTATTACTTTTCTGCCTATTATAGTTATATTAAAGCGCTATTCATTTTTGATTGAGTAGAGGGCTATCAATTTTTATTCCATTTTGATGATACATCTTCTAGTGGCGTTATATAAAAAAATATTTATCTACATTTTACCAGATTCTTAGATCCGCCTTACAGAAAACTGTTTCATTGAATCAAAGAAGTATTTCTATTGACATAGAATTTTTTAAAGAAAATTAATTTTATTTTTAAATTAAATAAATTCTTTTTAAATCAAATAATTTTTTTTAATTCTTTTTAAATGTAATAAATTTTTTTTAAATTAAAAGAAAAATTTTCTTTGATATATAAATACTTCTTTTTCTGGTTGTGAATTGTTGTTTTTGGTGAATAATTTAAGTTTGCTAAATATGCGATTGAATATTCAATAATTGAATTATCGTAGTCAGAGTGATTAGAAAATATTTAAAAATTCATGATTGCTATTATTGTATACAGTTTTGAATATTATAACAATTTATAGATTTTTCGCTATATGAATAATTAGAATACAAATAGCAACATTGATTCAATATTCATTTAAAAATTAAGGAAGGGAATTTAAAATTTATTGAAAATTTTTAAAAATCCATATATGACAGGAAAATTGTAAATAATTTGATTATAATGGAAATTTAACGAATTTATATATAAAAATCGACTTTTAAATAACTTTCTATGCCATTGTTAAAAAGGGAGTGAGTTAAATACCCCCTGGAAATAGACCTTATTAATGAACATCGCCATATGGTTTAAATAAAACATGACTTCCTCTATAGTTATATTAAGAAGCATTATTGTAGTTTCAAAAAAAGGGTAAAAATATAAACCGATTGTTAACAAGGTTTTTTTTTAAAATTAGCTAACGTTAAAAAAAAAACTCATTAAATATTTGTAACACTCCTTAAAATATGCTAATTTTTCCATTAACACCTAATTTAATTTTCATTAGCATATTTAATTTAATTTTCATTAGTACTTAATTAAAAGTATACATAGTGTAATAATATCAATTATTTCATTCTCAAAGGTGGAAAATATATATATTTATATATATGACCCAATTTAATCTTTGGAGAGTATATAATTTTAAAATTAAATATATAATTTTATCGATGGAATAATATCGAGGAAATTATTTAAATAATTGAAAATAATTATTGAAAAAAAATTGCGTATTTTCTTCCAAGAATCTACAACATTAAATATATATATATATAGTATGTTCTAATCAAATAATGTATCATATCGGACATAATGAAAAAAAACAAGCACCCTCTCTAATATCTTAACATAATTTCCAGCTTGTTTCATGAATAAATTAAGTAGCTATATATACAGTATATATAAAAGGTGGAGAGAACTTTATATATATATATAACATAGTCTCGTTAGTTATTATAGCTTCAAGCCATGTGAAGCTTGAAGATTCAGCTATTGGCTAAGTTCGCCGTTATTTTACAAGTTGTTTTAGAAACTGTTATGTTTTTCCGTTTTATTCATTTTATATTCGATCAATACAGCTTGAGGTGATTCAAAAAAAATATTCATTTCAAAAAAAAGTAATTTAAAAAAAAATTCATTTTAAAAAAATATATCTTTTTCTTTTTAAACCGAAAAAAACGTTATTTCTTCATTGACTTTTTTCGCAGTTTCTGTGTTGGTAATTAGCAGTAAATTTTTGAAAACGTTATAAATTCTCTATTCGATCCTAATGTACTTCTTGTATATATATATATATATATACCTATATCAAAGTATTTTACGCGTGCGCTTTGGAATCATGCCAGTTCCCTTAAGGTACTCTTGCATCTGTATTATATATATATATAATATATCTATATATAATGTACCATCTCCCTTGACGATAATGGCTAATGATCTTGTCTTGAACTTAAATTTTACAAACAATATTAGTAAATCTTGCGAAAGGAGCGTGGAAACATTCCGCTTGATTGGAGATTTTTCTGGTTAAGGGGAAATGGGTGTTCATAACTTGTTATCTTAAAATTTGATTTAGATGAAGAAAAACCTTTTTTTATCAATATTGAATTTTCTTTTATCGAAATAGCGACGGTTTACATTTTTTTATTCTAAAAGTTTAAATACTGTGCAATTTTATATATTTTAATTTTTTTTCGTATGGTTCTGTTTCTTATAAAATCGTTTAGTTTTTCTAGAAAACGAAATGAAAGCTTTTTGGTATATCTATTATATATACCTGTACATTTCAATTTATCTTTGATGTTCTATTGTATCATATTGAAGGATATAAAATGAATTTTTATTGAAATCGATCAAGTTTCTGACTCTTCTTTTTCTTCTTGTATCACTATTTTATTATATTTGTTTTATCCAAGAATCGGATTTAATGGTACTTTTAAATTATTATTTTTCTCTTGCAAAAAAATTTCTTTCTTCTATTCTATTTGAAAAAAAGTATAGAGTAAACTGTATTTCCGCATTTGATCCGTTAATTTTTTTAATTCAGGAAAATTTACTTTTTTTTCCTTGAATCAAAGAAAGAAAATTCTTAACCCTTTCGTGCCTCCGGTACATATATGTACCACTTAAAAAATTTGATGTAACTCTTACAAATTTAACCCAATCAGTAATTCCAATGGATAGTTTTATTGACAATCGTTATTACTATATGTTAAAAAATAGAAAACAGTATTATACAGTTATAATTATTTTAAACAATAGGTACAACATTGATAAAAAATTAACAAAAGTTATATATCAATAATGTTAAGTCATTCATTTAGGCTTCATCCGTTTTTAACAACACATTGACTTTTAATATTTTCGAGGTCGCTGATTACGAAACTGGAGTCAGATTTTCAAAATGCAAAATGGCGGATCCAATATGGCGGTCGAATATCCAAAATTTTATCTGTTCTCTTCAAATTCGTCACTCGGGGGTTTTTGGGGTCGCTGATTACGAATCTGAAGTCAGATTTTCAAAATTCAAAATGGCGGATCCAATATGGAGGAATAAATTTCAAAATTTCACCGATTTCCCTTAAAACTCATCACTCGGGGGTTATTAAATTTATTATTTTATTAAACTAATTATATTGAAATTATTAATTTTATTTTAATCACCATCTTAAAATTATATTTAATTAATTTCTTTCATATTACAA